GTTTTTATGAGAGTATAACATTATAACACGATATAAAACTCAAAACAGTTGATTTTACATGATATTGCCCCTTTAACTTAGACTGAAGGTTTGGACTTTGACTTGGTCCAACTCTTGGATTCTTCTCAGCGGTTCTGTTTTGTTTGGRTTCACTGCCCGTTTGCTCGACCCAGTTTGAGTGAAGCTTCAGCTGAAAGGCAAAGGCCCAACGTTTGACTCTAGAATATTTAGATAAAYATGGGAGTTTGTGTCCCTCTGTCACTACACTGAGCCCAGATTATCAACCCTCCACCTCTGTGTCTGACAGTATGAGGTGTTCATGGTCAAACATCTCCAGTATTGTTTCAGTTGGTTAAAAGCCACTTTTGCACTTCCCACAGATTCATTATAGTCAACAAACCTTTTTCTACGTGTTATTTTTTCACCTRTGGAGAATTCTCTCTGTGGCGTTTCTCTGACCCAGGCTGTGAGCCGTGCCGGTTTGGTAGGACCGTCCATGGAGAACCACATGGACATGTCCCACCTGCAGATGCCCAAACACATGTCGGTGGCGCCACAGGAAGAACCAAATGATCTGGAAGAACTGGAGCAATTTGCCAAAGCGTTCAAACAAAGACGCATCAAGCTGGGCTTCACTCAGGTAACTGAAGGAGAAATGTTTTTTTTATGAGCTCTATTGATGAGAACTTCTTTACATAAATCTTCTATCTTTGTTTCGTCACAGGGTGACGTGGGCCTCGCCATGGGAAAACTGTACGGAAACGATTTCAGTCAGACCACAATCTCTCGATTTGAAGCCCTCAATCTCAGCTTCAAAAATATGTGCAAGCTCAAACCTTTGCTGGAGAAATGGCTGAGTGATGCAGGTACACGATGACACTGTTATTACAACCTTCCTACGATCAGTTACGTTTATTGTGTTTAACAGATCTTTGCGTCTTTTAGAGAACTCACCTTCTGACTGTATGAGCACCTCGACCTCTCTGCCACCTCTGATCGAAGGCTACGGGCGCAAAAGAAAAAAGAGAACAAGCATAGAAACAAACATAAAGCTGACTTTGGAGAAGCGTTTCATTGATGTAAGACCGACTTCATCGAAGTACATACAACATCTGATGATGTATTTTAGGGTGAACTTTTGTAACATCACACATTTATCATAACTGATGTGTGGAGAATGACAATTAGATACTGCATAGACAAATCAAAACATAAGCCAATTAACCAAGTCTCATCTCCTCTTCACAAATGTTTTACTTTTGTAAACAAATGAATATATTAATACCTGCCATCAAATATTCAAATTAAATACACTTTTARTTTRTAATAAATCAATGAAATTAGTCATTTTCCAGTTAATAATTTAAGTATAATAATTCTATTTTAATTTGTATTTCCTTTCAYTTGGGAGGTAATGCTAACTGTTATCATGCTAAGCAAAGTCATATTAGCAGCTCACCTTTGTGTTTCAAACCATTCTTATTTTTGGGAGGTTAGCAAGAAAAAGCTAAAATGTAAAAGTTTGTACTAACTAATAAACTATTAAACAGACAGCTTTTAACAAACTAAGATAAGTCATGTTAGCAGGCTAACGTTAATGTTTTTCTCACCTTTGTTCCCCCCATTACCCTTTTATTTAGGAGGTACTGTGAGAAATACTAACTGTTAGCATGCAAAGAAAAGTAATGTTAGCATTAAGCTCACCTTTAGGCTTCATATCATATTTTTATTCGGGAGATTAGCGAGAAAATTCAAAAATGTAAATGTTTGTCCTCAAAAAGGGATGCACAATATATCGGCATTAATATCGTATCGGACGATATTGGTCATTTTTTTAGAATATTGGTATCGGTCCGATATTTTAAACTGGGCCGATATTAATGTCCGATATGGATTTCCCACTTTTTATCTTTGCGTTTCTGTTTTGGGAGGGGAGAGGGTTGGTTGAGCAGCTTCCGTTTCAGATTCAGATTCAGATTCATTTATTAATGACCACACAACAAGTTGGTGGAATTTGCTTCCGGTTTGATCATGATAGTGATATTGATGCTGCGTAGCCAGGAACAACTGAAGTAGAGCCATGTCAGATGTCCATCTATCCATCCATTATCTTCTGCTTTATCTGAAGTCGGGTGGCGGGGGCAGCAGCTTGAGCAGGGAAGTCCAGACCTCTCTTTCCCCAGCCACCTCTTCCAGCTCTTCCAGGAGGACTCCAAGGCGTTCCCAGGCCAGCCGAGAGACATAGTCTCTCCATTGTGTCCTGGGTCTTCCTTGGGGTGTCCTCCTAGTTGGACATGCCTGAAGCACCTCCTTAGGGAGGCGTCCAGGAGGCATCCTTACTAGATGCCCAAACCACCTCAACTGACTCCTCTGGAGGTGGAGGAGCAGCGGCTCTACTCTGAATCTCTCCCAGATAACTGAACTTCTCACCCTATTTCCAAGGGAGAGTCTAGCTACCCTGAGGAGAAAACTCATTTTGACCGCTTGTATCTGTGATCTTGTTCTTTCAGTCACTACTCAAAGTTCGTGACCATAGGTGAGGGTAGGAACGTAGACTGATCGGTAAACAGAGTTTTGCCTTACAGCTCAGCTTTCTCTTCACCAAAACAGACCGGTACAGAGTCCGCAAAACTGCAGAAGCTGCACCGATCTGTCTATCAATCTCACGCTCCATTCTTCCCTCACTCGTGAACAAGACCCCGACCGAGATTATTGATCTCCTCCACTTGAGGCAGAACTTCACCCCCAACCCAGAGAGAGCAATCCAATCCACCCTTTTCCAACTGAGGACCACGGACTCAGATTAGGAGGTGCTGATCCTCATCCCAGACGCTTCACACTCAGCTGTGAACTGCTCCAGTAAGAGCTGAAGATCCTGGTGCGATGATGCAAACAGAACCACATCATCTGCAAACAGCAGAGATGAAATCCTGAGGCCACCGGACCGGACTTCCTCCGGCCCCTGGCTGCACTGAGAAATTAGTCCCAAGTAAGTTATGAACAGAAACGGTGACACCGGGCAGCCCTGATAGAGTCAGAGGTCTGGTTGTTTATATACAGTATCAAAAAAAGACCCAAGTCTGTTTGTGTGTAATATAATTTGTGTGTTTGTGCAATATCGGTAAATATCGGTTATCGGCCATAACAGCAATAATTATATTGGATATTGACAGTGGCGGACAGTAGTGGACTACATTTACTTGAGTACTGTACTTAAGTACATCTTTTGTGTGTCTTTACTTTATTTGAGTAATTATTTTTGGGATACTTATGACTTTTACTCCACTACATTTCAAAGACAAATATTGTACTTTTTACTCCACTACATTTCAAAGACAAATATTGTACTTTTTACTCCACTACATTTCTAGGAAGCTTGTTAGTTACTTGTTACTTTTGGTTTAGCATAGCTTTGTAATCAGCTGTTGCTGTTTTTCAAGAAATACATTTGGCCACACAATGCTCCTCACGAAGGGAACCAATCACAGACGTAGCTCACACCTTTGGTAGATTTGGAATTACATCACCTTCATTAACCGTCGCAAGCTGAGCTCCACCTTCATTTCAAAGAGAACCCAGCAATTTAAACGATTGAAGAGAGTAGAGAAACCAGTACACCCATGACCATATGTGGCTCGATGTTTCAGATTCTAGGACTGAAAAATAGTTCCTATCAGTTTAAACGTCTTATGGGTTCACTGCAGATAAACTACATTTCTGCATTTAAGAACTCAACACTAACTTTATTGTATTTTTATGCTGACATCTTTACAGGTAGTTTTTATTTGTAGCAGAGTGGTTCTACGTTTCAATACATCAGGTGGTTTCTGAGAGTTACAAGGTTCTGTAAAATCACTGAAACCAATACAGCAATGTACTGATATTAGAAATTTTAATTTGTACTTTTGAATACTTGAGTACTTTTAAATGCATGCTCTTTTGAATACTTAAGTATTTTCAAAAGTAAATACTTAAGTACTTTAATTTAGTGCACCTCTGTGTTTGTATTGTCCTTATGCGAGTGTGTGACGATACATGGCAAATATTTACACATTTACGCTTCATAACTAAATCAATAAATGCTTTATTTTAATTTATATATTTTTTAAAATCCTCATTTATTGTTTTTTTTTCACTTTTCAGAACCCCAAACCCAACTCGGAGGAGATCACCCTGATCTCAGAGCAGCTCTCCATGGAGAAGGAGGTGGTCCGAGTTTGGTTCTGTAACCGTCGTCAGAAGGAAAAGAGGATCTACTGTCCAGTGGCTACTTTACCAGTCAAATCTCACAGCTACAACTCCAGAATGGTTAGTCTTCAAACACATTCTTCACCAACCATTTGATAATAAAATTAAACCAAAGCGCCTCTAACTAGAACACATACCCCCTTTTGCTATTTTGGGTATGTGGTTTTTCTGCTTTCCATTGACCCATCATTACTAAGACAGCATCTTCATGGTTGGTGGTCTCTTTAGTAAATAAGGTTATGAACAGTTATCTGTTGTGCCCTCAGTTTTGAGAAACTGGGTCCAATTCTGGGTATAAGATATCAGTTAGTAAAAATGACCAATCTAAGAAAACCAGCAGCTTTGTCGCAATCTCCTATCCTGAGCGGCACAATGACGACAGTAGAAAGAAGTCATCCTATTTTAACAGGAAAAAAACCCTCAGCAGGATGGGCAGCCATCTTCCTCAACTGGTTTGATTTAGATAGGACAGGAAAGACACACAAAATCAGCTGAAGACTTTTTAAAGAGAACACCCAGATAATAAAAAAAAAACAGAAATGTGTGGAGCAGCTTTTCTGCACATTACATCAATGTTTACATAGAACTCCAGCAGCGGTACCTTGATGTAGCACTTCTAGTGCAGCCTGGGCCACATCTGGTAAGATCATAACATTTCTGCCAGAACAACATTATAGTGTAAAATTAATGACAATGCAAGGGTTAAAAAATACAATTTGGGCAAAATACTATGAAATTTTTGAAACTGGAGTTGCTTAACCTGACCAGGACTACAATACATGTACCCGTATCGAACCGTATCGAACAGTGCTTTAAGTTCAATACACACTTGTATCGAATAATACAGATTTTTAAAATTAATTTTATCAGCTTGTCTTCTGAAGATGCTCTGTGTTGAAGGATCAGTGGATCTGTGTTCGACTACTCCACCTAGGCTG